GTTGTATCTTACCATTTAAGACCGTGCATGTATCAGATATTTATTTAAGAGACTGAAATGTTTAAAGGAATTTTAAAATATATTTTGTTCAATTAATCTTTAAATATTTGAAGTTTAGAAAGCCTAGACTGTAATCACCCACCAGAGACAAAGTATCTCATAATAGTTGACAGGGGAGATTCTTTACCCATATATCTGGGTTCAAATACTTCCTGTTATTTATTAGCTGTATTAGCTGTGACTTATACTCTCCTTGCTGAAGTTTCTTCATCTGTAAAACAAGAATGATAATAGACAGTACTGTTATTAGTAGAGTACTGTAATTACAATGAGGAATAAATAATAAAAGTAAACACTAAGAGTGCCCTTAGCAAAGGCTAGTAAGCACTGATCTAAGCATTTTAATACATGTTCTTATTAATTCCTTATGAGAAGCCCACAGATTATGTATTATTACCCTATTTACAGATGAGGAAATCATGGGAGAGATGCTGACTGACTTGCCAAGTCAAGAAGCCAGTGTTTGGCAGACTCACTATTTGAACTCAAACAGTCAGGGCTCACTGTCTGTCTTACAACCACTTTATTTCCTGATTCTTTCATGGGTGATTTTATTTTAAGCTTTAAAGGTAGGTGAGCTCACATATGTAAAGTATTTAAATCTTTACATGTATGTCTGGCATTGACTAAGTGCCAGTAAATGTTAGTTGCTATTCTTACTACTACTCTTTGTACTACAATTTAATAGTTAACCTATGAATGCCAGAAACTGAAGTGCCTGATATACATATAACATCTTATGTACATAAATGCACAGCATCTTCTCATCTGTATAACTGATACTTTGTTAGAGAAGTCTCTATCACAGCAGCTTGTTACTAGTAACATTCTCTCTCTCTCTTTTTATTCACCTGGCTTATTGTTTGTCTGTTTTACTAGATAATGAACTACATAAGAGAAGGAAGTTTGTCTACCCTTTTTGTTTCATACCCAGCAAACAGCTGGACACATCATAGACCCTTAGTAAATATTTGTGATAAACAAAGGTGAACACAATAGAAATAAGAAGAAAAGGATCTTTTTTCCCTTAGTAAATATTTATAATAAGCAAAGGTGAACATAATAGAAATAAGAAGAAAAGGATCTTTTTTTTCCCTCAGTCACTTGCATAGCCTATCAACAACACTGAAATGAGGACACAGTGCATTATTTTTCTATAACCATTAACAAGGTGACAAGCAGGCCCTTGGCATAAAGAATGTGAGCATAAAAGAATTGTAAGAGAGGGCTCTCAGGCCCCCTTAATGGTACCATTGCCTTTCTCCCTGGATTACCTACCTGCTTTGTCTCAAGAGAAGCATAAGAAGGCAAATATATTTCCTAGATTCGCAGCCAAGATGCAGGTCAGCTCCAGAAAACTATGAAATACCTGCTACAGGAGATTTCTTGGTTTTGGAGGAAAAATATTTGAATTCAAAGAAAAAATTTTTCTTCCTCCAAAAGAGATATGTATATCATGTATTGTGCAGAATAATACTTACTTACCCTTATAGACTTACATATCTTATTTCTATTTGAGAGTTAATACTACCAGATAACTTTTCTCCCCTTCATGTTCTCAGCAAGAATAAACCATAAGGCGTATTGATATGTTTATTTTAATATCTGAAACTAGACCCTAGCTTTCAAAGTTTTGGAGCACAGAATTATAATATAAAGAAACATGAAGAGGGAATATTTTTTAAAAAGAGTGAAAACCAATGATTTATTAGTGGAAGTTATTTTCTTATATGGAGACCTTTGGAGAAATGAACACAAGAAAGAAGATATGAAATCTTCTTAAATGTCAATTTTTTGGTAAGAAGTAATTTCTTGGTACTGATTTTCACCTAAGAATGTGTTTGTGATAAGATTTATAAATTGTTTAGGATTGATTGAAAGAGTTGCTCTTAGTCTTATCATATATATTTTTATCACATATGTATATTTTAATTAATCATGTTATAATTAATATATGAGTGTATACTGTGTAAAAGGTCATGCTGTGGACCTAAAATGCATAAGCCATAGTTCTAATCCCAAAAAATGTCATCGGGGTGATATATCAGTATAATGCAGAAACGACAGTATGATTCGTCAGTGAAAACAATGCTCTTACATGCATTGCATTTTGTTTACCAACAACAGTTACTCGATTTTGACTCAGTTCACCTGATCACATTTTAATAAATCAGTAAAACATACTGATGTCACCTGAATACAGTGTGAAGAATTGTCTCAGACCTCTGATAGCTATATGTTTATAGCTTTAGTCAGTAAAATGATTGCTGTTTTTACCATAGTAGAATTTTAATCTAGATACAAAAATTTAATTCAGAGGGGAAATTTGGTGGACTCATGTAATGAAAAGGAAAGAATGCCAGGGATAGAACCTCAATAGGATCTCTCTGGTTAGAGTAAGAGAAAGAAGATTGATATGTTGTAAAGAAAGAGACATGATGATTAAACTTTCAATTCTAACCCAGAGCTCTTTCTCTAGTAAATCAAATTAAATACTTATTGCCTTTTAAAAATGGACTTTTCTCTCATCTTAAAATATTTAATAAAGTAATACTTATTTTAATATACTTACATAGTTCTTATAGTGTACATTCTAATGGTTATGCTTTTTTATGCTACAGTTCACAGAAACTTATGTTTAGTAATTCAAATATGAGCATATAGTGTCATCAATTTTTTAAAATCTAAACAGTCATATATGTTATATCATAAAAATATTGAAATATATGAATGAAAATTCAACCAACATATTTTTACAATGTTTTGAACCATGAGGTGCTTTGTAGGCTTTTGCTCTTTCTTAACATTCAAATTAATTTTATTTAAGTCAAAGCTCCTTCTTTAAATACAGGGGCAACATGTATTTAATTTTGCCAATTTAAAATAAAATATTTTTGTGCTTTAATTAGCCATTCTCTTTGTGCAGTATCCTTACTGGGTATACTGTAATTATTTGCAAATAGTCCTTACTCCACGATCCATATTATAAACAGAATTTGAATACACCCTTTGAAAGGAATGAGGGAATTAATTAAATATATTTCACATATTTTCAAAAATGAACGTCTGCAGCCTAGAAATACCAATGCAAAAAGGACTAGATTATTTTTTAACTGCAGGTGTAATACTTTTGATTTGTTGCAAAAATAAATGAGTTGTGATAAGAGACAGAATGAAATTAGCATGGTTTTGTACAGCTGTGTCTCACTTCAGAGAATAAATCTATTCTTGAAAATGCAGAAAATTACTTTAAAATATTAAGCCTTAGTTTAGACATACTAGCAAACCCCACTTTTAAAGGAACATTTGTCTGTGTATATGTGTGTGTGTGTGTGTGTGTGTGTACCTTTGCTCAGTGCTTTGCATATAGTCAGAAGGGGCAAAACAGCTTTAGGGAAAAAAAACTATAAAATCTTTATTATGTATATCCAAATCACAAATTTCAAATTCTTTTCTCGAAAGAGTTTTTATATGGCTCATATATGAAAGCACTTGTGTATTTACATTGACATAGAAGTGACAAAGCACCTACATGTTGAGGATGGCATTGGGAGAGATTTTCATAGAATTTCAATATCTAGATTACGAGCTCCATGAGGACGGGTACTGTTTTATGTTTTGCTCCCTGAAATGTTCCAAGCCTGTATGTCATACAGAGTGAGCACTCAATGTATTCATTATTCTCAGAATACTTTTGTTGAATGAATGGACAATTTGTAAATGATCACCATGCTTGTTTTAGATAATAAAAAATGAGAATGTAGCCAGTTGTAAGTTACTTGTTTGAGACAGGTAGTGGCAGTACCTAATACATAGGTTCCTAAGGCAGTGATATTGTCCTTCAGTAAAATATTTTATTCTTTTTTTTTTTTTCCTTGCGTTATGCGGGCCTCTCACTGTTGTGGCCTCTCCCATTTGCGGAGCACAGGCTCCGGACGCGCAGGCTCAGTGGCCATGGCTCACGGGCCCAGCCGCTCCGCGGCATGCGGGATCTTCCCGAAACGGGGCACGAACCCGCGTCTCCTGCATCGGCAGGCGGACTCTCAAGCACTGCGCCACCAGGGAAGCCCAAATATTTTATTCTTAAGTGCTAAATCAGTGATAAAAGTAAACATCTAACCAAGGTTATTTGTACTAAACTGTTATACTCTTTTATTCTATATACCTCCTTTCTTAAATCGTCCTATGATTTACAAAGCATTTCTTCATGAGCTAGATACATAAAGTAATATCAGTTTTATTACGACGATTTATTTGTCCATTAAATAAACACTTAGTAAATGCTTTCCTTCAGCAGTATGCTAAGTAGTGGGAATAAAATTGTGTACACGTGACTGCCACAGTCCCTGCCCCACAGACATTTCCTCTTGTGACAGAAACAAATAAAAAACAAGTAAACACATATATTAGCAAAATAAATTTGTCTTGTGATTGTGCTTTGAACAAAATTAATGGAGATTGGGAGTTTGGGGATTGAATGAACCTGTAGTTACAGTGATCAGGAGAGGCACTTTCAAGGAAGTAACATTTAAGCTGAGATCTGAAAGTTGCAAGTTCAGCTTAAAAGTGACTTCCCCATTTGTATAGGGTCTAAAATATCTCCAAAGGCAGGCATCTATGCCACTGGGAGGGGGACAAGGAGAGAGGTTACTACAGCTGTGATGTGCAGTCATCAGTAGAGTTGGAAATGTTTGCATCGAGTAGTTAATTCCTATTTACCAAAATGGAAACGTCCCTATTATGTCAAATAGTTATTATGAGGCACCCATATTTTTTATGTTGTTCAACCAATGTTTGGGATGTTAAAATAACTGCCTAATAGAAAACAAAGAAATAGAATTTTGATAATACCCAAGCAAGTGCAGTATAAATTTATATATCAAATCTTGACTATATTTCTATTTTTTATTTGATTTCTTTATTTTATACATGTTTCCCAGGATAGTCCACTGGTCTTACAGTCTGACAGGAATGTAACAGTGAATGCAAGAAATCACATGGGGCAGTTAACTGGACAGCTGACAGTAGGTGAGTGCTTTGGGGTAAAGATTGCTCATACCATCTTACTCCATTTAAAAGTCTGTGGTTGTTTAAATTGGGAAAAGCAGAAGTATATTATTTCTCTAATATATATTTAGGCATCCCATTCCAGCCCAATTAGCTTGCACATGATTTGATTTGTCATAGGCTAGTTATGGTCATTGGTACTCTTGTCATTGTGTTATTGTGAGACTGAATTACATATATTTTGCTGTTATTACTCTTGAATTATGAAATGTACCACTTTCCTAACAATATCTCCCTAGTATATGTTAAATTATAGTAAATAGGCTAAAACAAACATGAGATGTAACATCTATGTATCCTTTGTTCTAAACAAATAATTTACTAATCATTATCTGCTTATAAAATTAGAAAAAATAATACAGTAATTGAATATAAAAAATCTTAACGATCAATTACTTATAAATTTGATGTTGAAATTATACATATCTTAAGGTTTATAGGGTTTAGAAGTTGTAAATATGTTTATGATAAAATATTACTAATGTTTTCTCATATTGTCAAAAAATTAATTTAGAGATTCGTTAGTGGCATTGTTATTTGACTGAAATTTTATAAGAAAAAAGGGAAATTAAAAGTCAGTTGTAGTTATGTAAAATGTTACAAAGACTTCATTTGTGTGTAATTGCTAAAATATTTTTAAAATACTGTATTTTTCTGTGGGAAAATTACCTAATACTTACTGATATTGTATATGTATGATAGTATATTATAAAGAGTAAATTGCAATTTTGAGGGCTGAGTTATCCTTATCTTGAGAAATTAATCATCATCTAATGCAAATGTATGTTTCCAGTATTTCTAATTAAATTACAAAAGAGTATGACATATGAAATGTGAGATTTATAGACATGAACTTGACTCTGTCCACTTATTTCTAGGTATATGAGACACTTTTTGATGTTACTCACTTTAATGAAGCCAAAAGTGAAACTTACATTGTGGCATATGTGTATTTTGAAAAAATATAATTGCATTTTATTATAATTATTAAATTTTATTTTGCATTTTATTTACATTATAAAAGTTGGTCAGTAGATATCTATCAATTGCTACATTTGATAGTATTTTGTGACATGATATCAATTACAAGGGGGGGCTATAGAAAAATGGATTAAAAATTAGGGAAAAGAAATATGTCTATGGACACAGAACTGATTCAGAAGCACCAGGCGCTTAATTTAAATGTCCATGCCAATTTACTATTGCTATGTTGGAACTGCAGAAACAGGCCTAAACTGGGCAGATTTTCCATATCATAATTTTTTTAATGTTGAGAACTCTTTAGCTAGATAGAACTTTATTCTGCATCCTTTTCTTGGTTAAAAAAAAAAAAAAAGTCCATCGTGGAAATGCCAACCTGTAAATTAAACACGCAAAGACCATATACCAATGTCCACTGTCACGTACAATCACTTCATAACTACTGTACTACCTATAGAGCAAAGCGGCTGTTTGATTTTATGAAGGATAATCAAATACCATTTACATTTTGCTACCTGCTTTCCTGCAGTAAATATAAAGAATAATAGTATTGTGCTTGTGTTTTCAACCACGGTTCCAAGTTGATTTTAACGCGTATTTTCCAATTACGCGAAAAGAAAGAGAGAAGAATGAAGAGGAACCGAAAGGGTGATAGGTTAGGGAGAAAGATTAAGCTTAGTTTTAAATGAAGCAAATCTATTTAATGATGCAGCAGCTTATTTCTGTGGATAGAAACATACTCATTCCAGTGAGGCTTAAGCTGAAAACTATTTAATATCCTGGTCCTCTGAGTGTACTGTTGGTGACCTCCATCTTTTCACTGCTTTGTATTTTTCAATAAACATACAGAGAACAAAGGAAGAAGTAGATAAAGGGGAGTAGGTCAGGTATAATATATTCATTTTTGGAGTCAAACCATATGGGACTCCAAAACAATAATTATCTCTGGGAGAGTCACTTTTCTCATCTCTAAAATAGAGATACGGACATTTATTTAGAATCATACATAAGAATTGGGTCAATTTCAGTGTCTGCAAAACTTAGGCAATTAAATCTTGACTTGGTTATTATTTGGATGATGGTGATTGTAATTTTTGGTATCACTTAAGTTACAAATACATTACTATCATGTGAAAGATTTCATTATGCTTTTCTATCCAGTGGGTCTCTGGGATAGTAGTTGAGGAATACATGCTGGATTATAATACTGTTACAAAGATATACTACAAAATACATCACAGAAAGTGTGCCTGATGTGTGGATAATGTTTTAATCATGTCACGATAAAATTATCTTTAGGTAGAATTTGAAGAGATAAATGGATGGATTAAAGCAATGTATTCAGTCAGGATTCATTTTTAATTATATTGACATAAAGTAACTGTTTTAAGCCTCTTTTCCTATTTCCTTTTTTTCATTCTTTCAGTTTTTGTTTAGGGGCATGGTCTTGATTATAGTTTAGGCATGACATTACTTGGCAATATTTTAAAAAATATACTACTGCAAAATAGACTAATATTTATGGAAAATAAATTCAGTTATTCTTCACTGTCTAGGTAAAAAAATTCTAATTTCGACCCTAAATCTATCAATCATGATTAGGAAAGTATAGTCAATTCTACCAATGTGACAGACTTTGAATATTTTTCCACATTTTATTTTCATTGTAAATGGGAAAAGAAAATTTCCCTTATCAGTAGCTACTTGTAACATTTTTCTGAAAAATACATATAAGATTGTTCAGCCAAGCAAATATCCACTCCCCTTGTACTCTTCCCTTCTATTTTTGTTTACAAGTCTACCTTCCTACTGATCCAATTCTCAGGGATATGTGTAGTCCATGGGCTAGGCAGACCGGTGTGTTAATTCTAATCCAAACTCACTCTAAGAATGTGAAACCAGATTATTTATAATCCAATAAAACCAAGAAAATATTTTATATATATGCCAGCTCAGACATAATCAAAACTAAACCTAAACATTTTTAGAATTTGGGTAAATTTAAAAAATGACAGGGCTTCCCTGGTGGCGCAGTAGTTGAGAGTCCGCCTGCCGATGCAGGGGACGTAGGTTCATGCCCTGGTCCGGGAAGATCCCATATGCCGTGGAGCGGCTGGGCCCGTGAGCCATGGCCGCTGAGCCTGCGCGTCCGGAGCCTGCGCTCCGCAACGGGAGAGGCCACAACAGTGAGAGGCCCGCATACCGCAAAAAAAAAAAAAAAAAAAAAAAAAAAAAAAGACAAATATTGTTGTATGCTAAAAGTTCCAGGCTTTACTTAAATTTCTGATAGTATCAGAATCTCCCTATGAAATTTAAGACTCTAATTTCGCTTTTCTTTTTGACTCTCATTTGTTTTATTTTTTATTTATATATTTTTAACATCTTTATTGGAGCATAATTGCTTTAAAATGGTGTGTTAGTTTCTACTTTATAACAAAGTGAATCAACTATACATATACATATGTTCCCATATCTCTTCCCTCTTGCGTCTCCCTCCCTCCCACCACTCTAGGTGGTCACAAAGCACCTAGCTGATCTCCCTGTGCTATGCGGCTGCTTCCCACTAGCTGTCTATTTTAGATTTGGTAGTGTATATATGTCCATGCCACTCTCTCACTTTGTCCCAGCTTACCCTTCCCCCTCCCCATATCCTCAAGTCCATTCTCTACTAGGTCTGTGTCTTTATTCCTGTCTTGCCCCTAGGTTCTTCATGAACTTTTTTCTCAGATTCCCTATATATGTGTTAGCATACGGTATTTGTCTCTTTCTGACTTACTTTGAATATTTTTCCACATTTTATTTTCATTGTAAACTAAAACTAAACATTTTTAGAATTTGTGTAAATTGTAAAAATGACAAATATTGTTGTATGCTTAAAGTTCCAGGCTTCACTCTCTATGACAGACTCTAGGTCCATCCACCTCACTACAAATAACTCAGTTTTGTTTCTATTTATGGCTGAGTAATATTCCATTGTGTATATGTGCCACATTTTCTTTATCCATTCATCTGTTGATGGACACTTAGGTTGCTTCCATGTCCTGACTATTGTACATAGAGCTGCAGTGAACATTTTGGTACATGACTCTTTTTGAATTCTGGTTTTCTCAGGGAATATGCCCAGTAGTGGGATTGCTGGGTCATATGTTAGTTCTACTTTTAGTTGTTTTTTTGTTTTTGATTTTTTTTGCAGTACACGGGCCTCTCACTGTTGTGGCCTCTCCTGTTGCAGAGCACAGGCTCCAGATGCGCAGGCACGGCAGCCATGGCTCATGGGCCCAGCCGCTCCGCAGCATGTGGGATCTTCCCAAACCGGGGCACGAACCCATGTCCCCTGCATCGGCAGGTGGACTCTCAACCACTGTGTCACCAGGGAAGCCCTATTTTTAGTTTTTTAAGGAACCTCCATACTGTTCTCCATAGTGGCTGTATCAGTTTACATTCCCACCAACAGTGCAAGAGGGTTCCCTTTTTTCCACACCCTCACCACCATTCATTGTTTGTAGATTTTTTGATGATGGCCCTTCTGACCGGTGTGAGATGATATCTCATTGTAGTTTTGATTTGCATTTCTCTAATGAATAATGATGTTCAGCATACTTTCATGTGTTTGTTGGCAATCTGTATTTCTTCTTTGGAGAAATATCTGTTTAGGTCTTCTGCCCAGTTTTGGATTGGGTTGTTTGTTTTTTTGATATTGAGCCTCATGAGCTACTTGTAAATTTTGGAGATTAATCCTTTGTCAGTTGCTTAATTTGCAAATATTTTCTCTCATTCTCAGGGTTGTGTTTTTGTCTTGCTTATGGTTTTCTTTGCTGTGCAAAAGCTTTTAAATTTCATTAGGTCCCATTTGGGGTTTTTTTTGTTTTTATATCCATTGCTCTAGGAGGTGGGTCAAAAAGGATCTTGCTGTGATTTATGTCATAGAGTGTTCTGCCTATGTTTTCCTCTAAGAGTTTGACAGTGTCTGGCCTTACATT